TCGAGGTGATCCCGACTGGAAAATGACCAAAAATACAAACATCAGAACGGTATTTGTTGAATTTCATTGTCTGATACTCTACCACAGAAAATACAGATAATACAAATAAGTAAAGAAGATTATTGGTATTCTGTGCATTATTAAAGGCATTGAAAGTATGGATGAAGATACTTTTCAAGGTTCAAATTGTGTCTAGGTGGATTTAGACTCAGTTATTTGTAAAACAAATAATTCAGCTTTTTGAGAACTTTCTTTCATGGCAGAGTTAGATTAGATAATTAATAGTCGTCTTTTATTTTTGTGATAATTATAAAGCGATGGCTAGCAAGTGATTAGCTTAGCATAGACTGTAAACTTTGGGGGAAGTAGGTGGCTTTTTCCATCCCATCATGATAAAAACAAAACCCCTCTAAGGGCGCGGTCTCACTGGCCATCCGTACCCAAGCACGCTTCAACCCTAAAGTCCAGTTCGTTTAGCCAGTGTGACCGCTCCGTATCGTGCTCAGGCACGGTACACTTCCTTGGCTTTGGCACACTTCGGAGAGGTGTGCTGCGGCACGGTACACTTCATGCACGAGCACAAGCACGTGGGTACACAACGCTGACAGCCTTCATTATGGAGAAATCCAGAGTTTCAGGGCTGTATCTGACTAAAATGACACAATATAAGCCACAAAGTAGCTGTCATGTTCTCTGTGTTTTTCTCCGATGTACGGGCGTCCGTGCGGACATGTGCATCGTTTTGTTGAAACTTGCAAACCAAAATATAAGAGACACTTCACCCTTTTTTATACGGTTTGTGAGGTTTTGAGGTAGAATAATTAGGTTGAAGAAGTGGTGTATTTATGCTAAGCTAATTATTTGTTGGCATTAGCCTAATTTTATTAGATATGGGAGTGATCATTTCCTCTAACTCTGCAACAAAGAGTGAGATGCCAACATTTCCAACAATAAAAAATACAAATAAAAAGCCAAGAATGGAGAGAAAGTTACCTCATATATGCCTGTAAACCCCAGTTCAGCAGCACAAAGGAACTCTGAATGGAGCTGATATTTTGGAGTAGATAATGGAGGTGAGAAAATGTCTGACAATGGTAGCACTCAATCAGACATCCCGTCAACTCCATACATTCCAACAGGGGGTGCAGCCTCACAATCTCATTGCTCGCAGTTTCCTTCACATTTTCCAGGTGCTGCAGAAGTTTGTTCTTCAGATCTTCTGGTGGCTTTGGGAAGTGTTGGGACACCGAACTTTGTATGATCAATTTTTGACGTCTTGAATTTGGCTCAGGTTGCAATGAGTTACAATTTCCATCCACACAGGTGTTTGCATCCACTCGTAGAACTTCAGCTAGCTTCTGAAGAGAGATCTTAGCCAAATTTTGGGAGAGTTGATCCTCGTTGGTGTTGAAGGTGTTCTGAGACAACAGGGTATGCCCATCATATGACTGGTTGAAGTCTATGAAAGAGTCAAATTTAAGAAATTAAGTTAATAGAGAAAAACAATTTGTGGCTTCAAGCAAATTAGACATTCATGTTCCCTGGAGGATAAATTGTCATAACTTTTGTGATCCAGGGTTTTGTGATTCTTCTCGTTGTACCAGCAGGTCGGATTGTCTGGTTATAATTTCCAAATGTCTCTAAATGTACATAATACAGTCCAAATTCAAAACACTGAAGAGAGCTGCTTCCCCCCAGCCCCCTCCTCCCTATGGTCGATGTGCACACATGTAGCTATGTCACAAAGATTGAAGCTTCAGTGTTTAGCCAGCTCGGCATCAGTCTTGAATCCTTTCTGCGTTCTAACCTCTCTACAGTTTTTCAAAAGCATGGTCTGATACGTCGGGCTATTTAAGGTTCTCCGAGTTTCCAAGTTGGAATTCTGACTTCATCAGGAACGCCCCCCTGAAGTCAGAATTTCAACTTGGAAACTCGGAGAACCTTAAATTGTCCAAGGAAACAATCAAACATGGCTGCTATGTGCGTCACAGTAATGTAACTATTAGGTTTAACTTATTCCTCTTTTTGTGTATTTAAATCAATCACACTGATAGCATCATGCAAGTTCCATCTGTGGACTATGGGGCGCCGATTGTAAAGTTGCACACACAACAAATAACAACAACATTTCTCCACAATTAGCCCTAAAACATCACTTTTTATTCACATTTAGAGAAATATTTGTGAACTTTGTCATATTTACTTATGTGAATAAAAATTTAAGATAATTTCATTGGCAAATATAAACGTTAAATATTATATCTAAATGTTGAATGTTTTATCTAAATGTTAAATGTTATATATAAATGTTAAAAATACATGTCCTGATTCTAAATATTTAGCTACATTTCTAAACATTTAGTTTACATTCTAAATATTTAGCTTTGATCCTATATATTTAGCTAAGATTGTAAATATTTATAATCAAAGCTAAATATATATATATCGAATATAGTGCCTCTTGTCAACAGGCAAGGCAGGCAACTGCTTTGGGCCTGACAAACTTAAAACCACAGCAGAAGCTAAAAAATGTGCAAATTTTGCAATGACAGTAGGAAAACTCCCTAATGAGGCCCCATTTGACAGCACTCACTCCCGTTGCCCTGCTTAGAATCTCACATATTACTCCTTCATTCAAATTAAACCGCTGAAGGAAAACAAAGAGGAATGATCTGTCTGGGAGTGAAAAAAGAAAGAGGGAGAGCGTTGAAACACTGGCAGACATAATGGTGGTTGGAGGGGCCCCTAATACATTTTTGCCCAGGGCCCCAACAGACTCTAGACTCGCCACTGTGTGCTAATAATATAAAATATACAAATGCAGCTTAGATAAAACATTCATGCTTTCCCTTTACCTAAGCCAAAAAAATTCCCAGATGAACTTGCATTGAAAAGTTATCAAGCTGCCTTGCATAGTTTTAACATTGGATCACATCAAAGCGGAATAACGGGTTTGTAATCCAAGCGAGAGTGAAATTAGAGCCAATGACAAGTTTACACATCCAGCTTTGGGAACGCCTACAGGTACACCTGTGTGAAGCACAATAATAGAGTGTGTCCTCTCTAAGCAACACCCCAGTAGCTATTTGGGAATCCTCATGCCTGATATTAACACCATGGCCATACCAGTTTGATCCGGTCTGGTCCGGCACAGTTTTCCTGGTATAACTCCAATACCTTTATATTTTCCTCACCAAGCGGTTGTTGTACACAGCTTTTTAAGTATTATACCTGTCTAAATATAGTATGTCTTTTATCATATCTAATCTTGAAACACACTAATTTATTCTTGCTGTCACAAAGATTAAACAGAAAAGAATTCAAAGCATAAGAAACGTTTTTCTTTTCATTTTTACTTTCGGAAATTGTTTTTCAGCACTGATATTTATATATTCTGTCTGTCTTTTGTTATTTTCACACTTTATTTTGAAGGGACTTCATCAGCGGTCTAGTGCAAGGTACACAGAGTATACACGCTTATTTTTCAGTCTTCATAGGGTGTACCCACTTCTAATCCTCCTCTGATTCACACCATTGATTGATTGACAATATTCAGTAGTATGCTGTGAATTATTTTTTTCCTAGGATGGTGAAGGGATGACCTTCCCTCCTCTGTCTCAAATTGCAGAGTAGTCTTACATGTCATTGTTTATAACAGAGGCTGTTTATCTTCTGCAGGACAGGCCACTTAAAAAAATAAGAGCATACCCACTTCTTTAGGCATCACTACACCACTGTGCTTTAAATGTCCCACACCTAAATGTACACAACTTTGATTGATGGCTTGTGGAAAAAAAAAATCCACAATAATAACAAAAGCAACAGTTGTAGATTAAGAGGACAGCAATAACAGTCTCAGTTGAGCATGTAAACTTAGACAATAAAAGCACACCCACAATAACAACAGACTTACCTTCTGGCAGAAAATTGTAGTTATTGTCTGTTAAAAGCCTCCTGCCGCTCCGCTTCAGTTTAGCCTTCAGTCTAAACATTTTTCTCCTCTCCAGTTTTATGGTTTGATTGTTTAGAGCAGATTATTCCCGTCGGCTGTCTCTTTGGAGTACTGCACCTTCCCGCTCAGAGCTGTGTTTTTCTGCCTTGAGTGTATAGCACGGATTCCTTATGTAGATAGATGAAGGGTGTTTCCATGACTTCATCAACACACTTTCAGTTTCCTTTTAGTGTAAGCTTAGCAGCAGGGAAAGGGAAAGTGGTTGCATCATGTTTAGTAGAGCATACAAATTACAACTCTGCTGCTTATGTACTGTAGGTGATACCGAGCTGGTGGTGGTCCGCAAGTGTCAATCAAAGTAGTACAATACAGTTATTGATGGTTACATGATTGCAATGTGTAGAATGTTTAAAGACAAAATGTGGTCATCAACTTTAAAGTATGATTTGTACTGATGGGGGAAACTGCTAGTGGTGTACAACCTCTGACTTTTTTATGTCAAACTTGAGAAACATGCATGTTATCAGAGAGTAAATAGACCCCACCTTTGCATCTGACAGACTTTGCTCTCAAGGTGTGACTTACGGTGAACAGAATAAAGGAAGGAGATGTCTTATCCTGATTACTTCAAAGTGTTTTCCTTTCATTTTCATTTACCCCCCCCCTTTTTTTTTTTTTACTTGTATACTTATTATTTTACTCACTTTCATTTTACTTTCCCAGATCACCCCCAGAGGACCACAGCCTCGTCACATGGGGCACCACCTCACAGCCTGCTTGAGTCATGACTGGCAAGCTGAATTTCAAATGGAAACCTCAGGTTGTTTGAATGCACCACTCTTGCTTATTGCAAATACAACTCTCATGACTGAGAAAATATTATTTTGTACAATATAAATTTAATTGAGTACACTTCTACAGTATATGCATATTTTGATTTCTCGACCCTTTTTGTCACATGAACTACAGTTACATATTGGTGTGGGTGTGTCGAGCTGAAAATTTCCCCTTCTCAGAGAGACAAAGCCATTCGGACTTTATCAGGGTGAATCCCAGCTCTTTTCCCCACAGCCCAAAGGAGATCCATCATCCAACTGTTGGCTGCTGGATTTCCCCTTCTCTGAGAGACAAAGCTGTTAGGACTTTATCGATCCATCATCCAACTGTTGGCTGCTGGATTTCCCCTTTAATCCCAACAAATGGACACAATAAATCAATATGTCCCAGAGTTGGAGTTCACATTTCAAGAAGAATGCACTCAAATTGTGTTTAAGGCTGAAAACAAAATGACACTTATCTACTGACTTCTTGTTATTTGTTTTGAGTTGAGGTTTCATTCTGGTGTTTTGCTGACGCTTTAGATAAAGACCAGAGTTCATGAAGTTCCCTCAGAAGGGGAGCCACCCAGAGCTGTTTGAACCGGGGAAAGCACCAAATAGACAAGAAAACAATATGACTGAAAGTTCTTGAGTGACAGCCAAGACAAGTAAAAGTGAGGGGCGGAGCCAGGAGGTGGCCAGGGCGATCCTAGACATCTGATTGGCCACCCCAGTGGCAACAGCAAAGTCCTGAAGTAAGATTGGCTGGTTGCCTTTTCAGAGACGGGACTTTTGTTCAAATCAACTTTTTTGGCTGTGTTACAACAAGCTGCTGTTAGCTTCCTTTGCATTTAAAAGTAGCCCATTTCATTTGTTTAGAATTTTAAATAGTGACTTTGAATATAAGGAGCAGTTTTCAGTGGGTCACGTCTTTTTTTGTCAAAAAGTCTTAGAAGCACCTTTTTCCACCACATGGCAACCTGCGTGCACATCAATTCTAACACTAAGGGGTCAGAGTTACATATTGCTCCTTTAATTTTTATTTACATGGCAAACAATGAAGGACGAGACACTTGACTTGCATGTTTAAAGAGTGAACAAATAACTTAAAAATGAAACCAGTCACACTCTGCATATCTGTGTAAAATATATCTGAGAGTTGAATCCAGGATGTTAAAGTGCACGGCTCTGTGTTTGTTTTTAAATGTTTGTTTTCTGAATCAGATATTAAGCTCGAGTTGTGGCAAAGGTCACACCCACTAGCCATCAGACGTCTTAGTTTACTAATTATCTGGCCTGACCTCCGAGTGGATGGATATGTCTCAGACTGGAGTTGAACTGGCTGCTGCTGCTGCTGCTTGTAAGGAGGATACCTGGCTGCGTCTTCATCCTCCTAAAATGAAAAAACAAGTGACATTTGCAGAAGGTCAGACGGTCTACAGGCTGCATCAGGATGACGCTTTTCAAAGGTAGAGTTTTACTTCTTATTTCTAGACCACAACAAAAATCATCCTCTAAAAATAAATTCTTAAACCATTTTGTAAATGTCTCTGAGATTATGTGTTTATCTTTTTTCATGTGCAGGAGTATTGGGATGAAAGAGTCAAGGATGGGTAAGTTCCAACACAAGTTTTTATTAAATATAAACAAGTCGGCAAGAAAGAAAAGGAGAACACAGATATAGATATAGGACAGTGTCTTTTAATTCCGCCTTTTCTGTCTATTTCACTTTATTACAGATTACAGAGTTCTAATGTGCATGCTCTATGTCATTGTTAAATGAACAAAACAAGTCTGCTTACATGTGTTGCTCTGAAACCTGAGACAGGCTTTCTATCGTGTAACTCAGCAGTTTGAGATCAGTGGAAAAGAAAGAAGGAAATCCTAAACCTGAACGTGACCCTGCATCACGCTTCATGAGTTACAGGAAGGGAGCTGTTCTCATGCTGTTCTCTGATAAGAACCTCTTTGGTTTGTCACTTTAATCAAGACCACTTACAGGCTTGTCCTTTTTCAAACACACGTGTAGCAGATTAGCGGCAGCAGGTCCAGCCTCTTAAACTGGAAAAATAAAATATCGATATCTGATCTCAGCAAACAATGATTAATGACACACTAAATGTTTGTTTTTCTCTCTCTGGTTGTTTTTAGCCGCTCGTTTGAAAACTCAACGACCAAACGTCAAAAGATGTGAACCGCAGCTCCATGATGTAAAAACTGTACAAATCCCCCAAACAATGACAGCAGGCCCTTTTCTGAAGGTAAAACTGCACTACTCCACAACCCCTCTGGTCGTTTATAATTAACTAAATGTTCTTCTGGAAGCTTCAGTCAGCCTGACGGTTGAGGTTTGTCTGAGTGTGGATCTCAGCAGTGACCCCTGACCTCTGTCTGTCCCTCAGCACACAGCGCTAACACCAGCTCAGAAGGAGTATCTGTACACCATCGCAGCTTCCTACAGCACGGCACATGTGCGTGACCTCATTAACCAGCATTACATGAACGTGCTGCACAGGTGTATCCCAACAGGTGAGCATAAAGGTGTTAGTCAAAGACTTGTTTTTGTTTTTCCAGAGTGTTCCAAGTTCTCAGTCGTGATATTTTAGAGGTTAGAGCCGAACAGAAATCATTTCTTTAACATGTTTTTTTTTTTTTTGCAGGTCACGACCCTGAGAGAGACGACCTGGTTGTGCCATCTTCTGTGAACTTACCTGGGACTGAGGGGAGAAGCAAACATCCATCAGGAGTGTTTTCCCCAACTAAACACAAAGAGAAGATACAAACAGGAGCAAGGAATCCTGGGAAATCCTCTCTTTCAAATACCCCAAGCAGACAAACAAGGTGGGAGACAGAACTTCAACAAATAAAACAAGGAGTAAAAAAAGACGATTACAAATCAATTTAGAGCCACAATGACATTTAAGAAGTCCTTTACTTTAAATGCATCATATTTACATCATTTTACACACTGTTTTGTTTGCATTGCAGGTCTTATAACACAGCAGCATCAAAACAAACAAAGATGGAGAAAAATACGTCAGCTTAATAAGAAGGAAAAGTCCAAAGAGTAAGTCAGTAAAATGTCTAAAATGGCTTCTTTTTATTTTCTATGGCTTCATTTTGGAGGGTCACTTCGAAGACAAGCTTCTGCAAAACTGTCAAAACAAAGTCAACAAACCAAAGTTGGTGATGACAAGAGAGAGAGGGACAGACTGAGACGACAGCTTAGATACTTAGACCCAGCCTGCCCCAGTTGCATGACATCAAATGGTTCCACCCCTCTCTACCTGAAGGCAACCTGAAGGGGGGAGATACAAGGCAACAGGAGGAGCATCCAGGACGACTGCACTCACTATACTGTATATATGTAGAGTACAAGCTGCTGCCAAGGCCAAAGTGCAGGACTAATAGATTTGTCTGTTGTACCATTATTCTCCTCGACATCATGGTGTGAATCGTTGCCCCTTTGATTTGTGTTTTTCAGAGATCATATGAGACTCAGTGCTTTGACTTGTTGTGTTCACTGCTGGCTGTAGAGCAGGTTGCCCCTCTTGGATAATAAAGTTTACCTTCTTCTGGTTTTTGTTTTCAGGAGGTGGAATGAAGCTGTCGCAGAAGCAGGAGGAAGAAGAAGAGGAGGAAGAGGAGGAGGAAGATTCTCTGAGTGAATGTTTGAGTCCACTCTCTGTCGGAGAACGGGACGATGACACGTCTTCCCATTTGTGACATTGCGATTGTAAATTTGAGTTTTCATGTCAAATAATGTGTGCAAGGGAATTTCACTTTGTCCAGTAAACCTTCCAGTTATGATAACAGACAGAGTGTTTTTCAGATTAAGGATCTAAAGGGATCAAAATGAGTTAGTCAAACAGTCAACCTTTAGAGTCTTCAGTGTCGTCATTATGTCAAGTTAAAACCTGCATCAATAATGTTGTGAGTTAACGACCCCTAGTGGCAAAGAGGGAAACCTTTAGGAGACATCATTTTCTGGAAATCCCGTGTTCACTGCATGGGATCACATCTCATCACCAAAACCTCCAAAACAACCTCTTAATGTTTAAACAATATAAATATTTTATAACTAAGAATAACCAAAAAAGAAACAATCTGTCAGTTGTACACACATGCTTCATCTTTAATTCATAAGACTTGCAGAAGAGACAGAAATCTAAGAAACAATGCATTAAGTATTTTCCCTCCATGTTATAAACCTTCCTCTTACATCATACTCTAAAAACACCTTTCTATAAACATGCTCTCACTGCACATTTTACCACTTGAATGAGTTGATAAAATGCCTCATTTCTTGTCTGACTTTTGACCAAAAGTATTTCTTTAGAAACAATTATAAAGTTTATATATTTAGACTTGTTTTGTCTTATCTTTTATTGATTAATGCATTAAAATCAGTATGAAAGAAGGGGCTGTTCCTAAGTGTATCTCTAATATTTAACCACTAAGAACAATGATCATTCTAATACATTTCTGTGTTAAATACGTATTAGTCATTATATGAATACATTCATTTTGTGTTACCTCGATAGTTTAGGCTTTCTATTAAGCACATCTTCTATTTCAGAATGAATTCAGACAGTCGAACTTGTGGAGTGAAATTTGATTTTTATTGTGGGGCAAAATGAATGAAAAAAGGCCGACTACGTGAAGCTAAAGGCCTAAAGGTTGTTACATGTACATGACATGACGAGGGCAGACATAACAAAAAGAAAGGAAAGAAAAAGAAAGAAAATGGCACCAAATATCTTTTTTTGATAACACATACATGTGACATTATTGCATTCTCTACAGTTACCAAATGACAGCTTGGATTCAAGCAACTGCTGATGACATATAAACAATATAATACACAGGTCTTTTAGAGTTAAGTTACTGAACAGTTTGTTACAGCATTAACATTTGTTGGTGACTTCAGGGCAGCTGCTGCCCCCTGGTGGTAAGGAATGAAATGATACACTGAGCCACGCTAACCCAACTCTCCCTCTCCCCTTCCCCCTCCTCCTCCGCACGCCTTCCTTTAGGATTTCTTGTACTCGATTCTCTCCACCTTGACGTCGTCACCAATCAGCTGATAAACGTACGTCACCACTGTAGACGCCTGGATGTCCATTAGTACAAAAGAGGGGATGATGTTGCTGTAAGGAGAGAAGGCAGATGTGTTTTAGGTCAGGGCTTTTCCTGCACTTCTGAACGCTGTTGATTACAGTCGGTCTGGTTCTACTGTTACACCTGTTACACTGAACTTCACACTGTAGGAGATCATCGGCTGCTGCAAACATCAAGGTGTCTTTTTAAAAATGAAAAAATGTAAATGTATTTGATAAAAAACTGGGTTCAGTCGAGGAGGAAATGTTTCCAATGCGGTAGGATTATAGAAAGAAATAGTCCAGATTAAGATGTATCCGATCTTTATCCTAAAAAACAACACAGAAGCATAGACTATCGGCCTTGTAGGAGGTCTGTCCTCTCTGTATGCTGCTCTGTTTAATTGTTTCTTCATTGCATTTAAGTAACAGATGGAGTCAAGAAGAATCCTAATTGAATTCATCTCAGCACGAAGACCCAAAACTAATCCTATGGTGAGGTACTATGACATGAATTTACACACTGCGACTCCTCGACAGTGCTGTGACAAAGTCACGTTGTCATTCCGCCTTACTCGTACCTGCACATTGCATTGCATCGGCGTAGTTATGGTGCCCTCAGTGTTTAATTTTACATTATGTGACGGTGTTGCAGAAGCAAAAGAAGCACGACTTGTGAACAAACTGGGACACCTCCACAAACACACTTAAACATGCACACACACATGAAGATGGCCCCCACCGGGCCCGAACCACCGCTTTTAAAGGTGTTAGTTATTTCTTTTGACCATATATAAACTATCATAAAAACAGCTCTTTGGGCTCAACATATGATTGAATCACTGCCATTTTATCGAGACGCAAAATAAGAAAGCCTCGAGTAAATATTGTCATCACAACCTGCAGAATAATTCAGTACGTTGTGTCTGCTTTTTAATTGTTTCTGTCTGTACTGTGTAACGCTGGTGATAAACTTTAGGTTACAGAGGTAACCCCGGTTCTTAGATAACATGAGTGAGGTTTCTCAGAATAGAGCATACCTAACATTTTGGCGAGATACTGAGCGAACGTTTGAAAGAGAACTAGAATTCCATGTTGAGATATAATCTGAAAACATATTTCTTCTTAGTTGGTGTAAATTCTGTTTTTTAATAAGACACTGAAGCTCACAGTGTTCCTACTGAGTTTACGTTGTAAGTATGAGAAGAAATCTTGTTTTAAAGTTAGAGCAACATGCACGTGTCAGAGAGAAGTGGTTAGCCTTAATTAGTGTAGGTGAACCCTTTACCATTCCAGTGCGCTGTAGGCTCCTGTAGCAGAGCCTGGGTTGATGTAGAACTTGTTTTCATTCTCGAATGCCTCAAATTTGTGTGTGTGCCCGGAGATGAGGATGTCCACATCCAGCTGTCTCTGGAGCAGCGCCAGACTGGCCATGTCACCCCAAGGAATCACCTGGTGGCCGTGGATGAGGCCGATCTTAAACTGGCCCACTGTCACCACCTTCTGCTCCGGGTAGTTCAAGTTCTGAGGGGAAAACGTGTGAAGTAAGATCGTGCACTTTTTCTTGGTGATCTACCAGTGGAAGCTGTGATATATTTTGGCATAACTAGTCAAAGGAAACAGTAAAAAAAAAAACAAAAAAACAAAAAAAAAAAAAACAGTTTTAAAGGATTTTAGTTCCGCCATGTGGCTGTTTCTAAAAAATGTGAACCAGGCAGGTTAAACTGAAACTGCAAGACGGGAGCTATTAGAGTTTCATTACGCTGTAACTAGGTTTCAGTTCCAACAAGAGATCCATTTCCTCTCTCTTTGCCGTTACATAAATCATGTCCTTTCCCTCCATGTAATTTAATTTAAGCACCTGAATCATATTCTCCTACCTACATTTAGAGACATTTTCATTTCACAGAATAAATTCATCTCTAGCATTAAAGAAACCAAGTCGCTATTTATTGTGTGTGTGTGTGTGTGTGTGGGGGGGGGCTATTTTTATTTGGAAAGGAAAGCTATAGAGCGACAGGACATGTGGGGGGGAGAGAGTGGAAGATAACATGCACCAAATAGCATCAGGATTTGGAGTCAATCCTGCAACAAGTGTGACAAAGACTGTAGCTTCTGCACCTGCTCTACCAACTGAGCTCCATCAGCCCCTATTTCTTATTTTTGTTGTTGGGTGGAATGAATATGGCAGGGTTATTTTCAAGGGTTATTGGGGCTGCTAATGAGGCTTTTGCCCCTATGGTTGTCTACAAATACACACCTCGTCAAAGTCTCCTCGGACTATGTGGACGTCTCCAGCGAGAGTCTTCAGGTAGTCATAGCTCTCCTTGGTGCAGAGGTTGCCTGTGCAGAGAATGTGCTGGATCTTCCCGGGGACTAGCAGCTTTTTGAACTTGGCTGGGAGGGTGTTGCACCGGTGGGGGATGTGCAGGTCACCTAACACCAGGACCAACTGATAGCATTGCACACACACACACACACACACACACACAGACAGGTTAGGAGACTTCAGGCTGCTTGATGCTGATCTTTGAAAAGGTAAGTGGGCCAAGGATGGAGCCCTGTGGGATGCCACTGGTGAGGATGCACACATCATAACCACATCACTAAATTTAGTTTGTTAATATTTAAAAAATATAGTTCAAGATCAGCAAAATAGTATCACGATTTATGTTATGCACCCAAACAATTTACTCCAGAGCAATTCCATGATATGAATAACCAGTCTTAATTCATAAAGCTCTATTTGGAAATAAGCAATGTTTGTAAGAAGCAGAGTATATTGAGTGTCTGAATTCAAACTAGATATACATTTTTACTTCAAATAAAAAAACAGGCCATTATTGGAAAATCTCAGCACAGCTTGATTCCAGACACTCAATTACACATGTAGGACATAAGAGCAGTTTATTTTTCCACACAACACAAGTCATCAGAATCAACCCTGTAACTCCACTGAGAAACAGAGGGATACCTTTAAATATTAATATGGGTAGCAATTAACTACTCTGGAGAGAAACATCCATTTAAAGGTTCTTTCCTACACCCTACATCAATTTAAAACATCAGTTATAAACAATGATAGCTGTTGAATTAATTAAAGTGACAAACACAGTTTGTGTATCATCAAAGGTTTGTTACAATGACTCGTCACAAGGACAGCTTATGATTTCTTACTTATTTCTGCATTATTTTGAGTAGAAAAGTAAAATACGGTTATCACGATATCTGATATTTAAACTTGGATATAATTCTGGTAAAAATCAAACAAAATCGATACCTGTTTCGATACCACAGCAACAGAAATACAAGTCTGTAGGCACCTGATATTAGATGGAGTGTTTTTAATTACTAAGAGATGCATGAAGAACCCTGCACACTGTCTAAATTGTACAAATATGAGTAATATTTCAGTACCACAAACATTGCAGCAGCTTTGGGTTAAAAGCATGACAGAAGAGCTGCAGTTTTTTAAGCGCTTTGGTGCTTTCTTTTAAAAACAATCATTTAAATCTGGGACATTGTATCATCAAACCTGTGGTATTGAAAAGTATTGAAATGTTGAAAACCTTAAAATATTGCTTTTTGTTAAAAACAACAGCCATGAGAAGTTGTCATTACAGCATAGCTGCCTGCTGGGCTCCAAATCAAAGCATTGCGGTTGATTGAATTTGCTTAAATAGTGGCTTTGGAACCCAGACACAGCAGACCTCTATAACAGCTACGCAATCCCATGTTAGTGAGCCAGGTAGAAAAGTGAGCAGAAAAACAGGGATCCGACACAGAGCGTGGGAACTTACCCGGTGACCAGACTGGTTGATTGAAGACGTGGGAAAAGGAGCGGGAGGAGGAGAGAGAGTGAGATAGAGGAAGGCAGGTGTGCATGTTGAGAAGGACATGAGGCATGATCAAAGATTGGGGGAAAAAATACAAAAAGAAAAAAGGGTTGGGACAAGAGGGGGAAACTGAAATTAGAAATTAAAAAGTGAATGGATTACGTGGACAGATATTAATGGTTCAAAAACAAATCAGAAAAGTTAAATAACAACGTGGTTGAATCGATTGTTATTGTTGATGGTTAGTGACAAATGATGAAGCAGGTGTATAACTTTGCACTGACTTAGTGAGCGCATGCAAGCCAACAAAAGACTGTAATGAAAAATCAACCAGTGATGAAGCTTTAAACTGCACCTAGACGTGTGCTTTGAACAAACTTTGTGTTTCAAACTACCGGAGCATCAGTAGTAGTGCTGGACAGTAACAAAGTTAATTTACTTCTTACATTTAAAAGAGAAATGTCGTACTCATGACTCTACTACATTTCTATAAATCTTCTCGTTACTAATGATTAATGCTCTGAAGTTAGCGGATGGATTTTCTTGTCTTTTCCTAAATCTGATCCAAGACAATAAAATGTGTTCTTGTAGTTCTGCGTGTTGTTTGTCTGAGTGGTGTTGCCATACCCGGACGTCGTGCATTTCTAGGGTTTAACTTTGAGCAAACAAAGAGCAAAATATCACGCAGCTCAGGCAGTTAATTTAGTCAGAGAAGGATGACGATTCTCCACCTGCTCTCCCGTGGCCTGTGTCTGCAAAGTCAAAGTTTTCTCACTGTGTGAAGCCTGGCTGATTATTTTTTTTGGTTGTTCCTATTAATTTAGAACAGCAAATCTGGAAATCTGTAGCATGCACTCAGCATGTGAAACTGCACTCATGCATTGTGAAAAAACAACTATGTTTTTTAAATTAAAAAGTCACTTGCATACTCTAGTGTTTTTTTAAAAGCATGTACCTTAACTCTAGTAACAATTACACTGAGCCACTTTAACTTGTATTGGGAGTAATTTGTCCAGGAGTATTTACACTTTGACTCAAGTGAGGAAGTCGTGCACATTGTTCACCTGCACAGAGACAATGTGTTGA